AAACTGGGAAACCCGCCTGTTTAGCTTGCTTCTGCAACGCTCCATCGCACTCTGGCTCCTGGCAGTAGTTATGGGCAATGACCTCAGACCACACCAAGCGCACCCCGGGGAACAAATTCAGAATGCGGGCCGAAATCAAGTCCCAAATGGGCACCACGCCCAGATCATTCCCCCCAGGTGGATCACCAGGACACTCTGCACCCCCAGGAGATGGAACAACTGCGCTAACTCGGGTAGGAGCTGGGACCACCTCATACCCCTTGCCCCAAGCCATTGTACCTCTGCTTCGAAACCCAACCTTTCGCCTCCAGGCCGCACCGCCGCACGCTGCCCAGCCCAGTAAACATAGGAGTGTCCGATGATTCAGATCCTGGGGGGAAACGAAACTGCGGAGAGAAATCATGTCAATAAACCGGCCGGACGAACATAGGAAACATAATGTCTCGAGTCCCACCTACCAATCCTTTGAACTACCTGCACCAGCATGCCAAGCCCAGAGGCCTCAGTAGCCACCCCAATACGGAACGAATGGCCCCCAAACTCCCTGCTATCCAATCCCACAGCCTCCAGCCCCAAACGAAAAACTCTAATAAACTGGAAATGGGAAAGGAAACTACCATCCCCGTGTACCAGGAGTGGCAACGCGTTGGAAGGGCGCAGAGCACAATATTCCCCAAAGGACCAAGCAGGACAGATGCCGGAACCTGGCACGGACCCCAACCGGACCCACTTACCCCTCCCCAAGACATCCGTCTTAGAGCGGCGAATCCTGAACGAGATCCGGTCAGCAGGACATTAAACGTCCCCGAACAGCACCCCCCCCACTTGCTGCCGGCTGGGGCACACCAGCTCCCCAATCCGCATAGCCCCAAAAAATGCCAAGGAAAAGGCTAAGCGAAAGAGCCGAACCTCAAAATCCAAATGGCACACCCTGTGCAACGCCTCACACAAAGTAGTTAGGAGCGTGCCCGAGACAGGACGCCTCGAGTCTCGCGTGACACCCGCCCCCGCCTCAAACCTTTCAGTGCCTGTCGTATGAGGAACGCTTTGGTAGCGTCGTCCCAACCCCGCAACTTAAACAGGAAGCTGAGTCCCGCTAAGCGCGCCGAAACGGCCGAGGGAGACAACCCCGCAGCCTCCCAATCCCTAAAGAGAAGAACCAAACCCTGCAGGCGAGCGGAGGAGTCCCTGAAACCCCCCTGGGACCTCTACCACCCGTCCCATTCCCTCCAGACCTTGTTATAGTGGTCCCACGTGGACGCAGCCACCGACCAGCTCCATTAGTCGGTCAGACCCAAGGACCACATCTCCGTCGGACACGGGATACCCACCAATTCGGCCTGCGGAGCCACTGCCCGAAACACGTCCCACTGTGAACGAGAGAGAGCATCGGCCATCACATTACGAACACCCGGGTTATGCACCGCCCTACAATATACATTCAGCTCTAGACAGCGGAGAACTAGGCGCCGCAGCATGCGAACCACGGGGGGAGAGGAAGCAGACAGCTGGTTGATCGCCTGCACCACTCCTAAGTTATCACAATGGAAGACCACCCGTCTGTCCACCAGCATGGAACCCCAAACTTCCAGAGCCACCACAAAAGGAAAGAGCTCCAGAAACGCCAAGTTTCGAATGAGCCCCGTTCCCTGCCAGGCCTCCGGCCAAGAGTCAGCGCACCATTTTGTGCCCAGAATGGCCCAAAGCCAACCGAGCCCGCCGCATCGGTGAACAAATGGAGGTCTGCGTTAGAGACCTCCGGGGCCTGCCAGTAGGACCTGCCATTATAGGAGGCCGAAAAGGAATCCCAAACGGCTAAGTCAGCCCGCAAGGGCCGGGTAAGCCGGATAAAATGCCGCGGGTGAACGACCGCCAGGCACCGATTAAAGATGCGCCCCATAGGCAGGATTCGACAGGCAAAATTGAACTTCCCCAGCAGAGACTGCAGGCAGCGCAGCTGTATCTTACGCCGCCCCAAGGCCCGGGACACCGCCAGGTGCAGGTCCACCACCTTATCCTGTGGCAGCCGACATTCCCCAGCCACCGAATCAATTTCGATGCCCAGAAAGCTCAGACACGTGACTGGACCCACCGTCTTGTCGTGAGCCAACGGGATTCCGAAGCGCTGAAACACTTCCCCGAGAACCCGCAGCAGGAGGGCACAGACGGACACACAGGAAATCATCGAGGTAGTGCAGGAGGGAGGCGACCCCAGCTTCCCTCCGCACCACCCATTCCAGAAAAGTGCTTAAGCACTCAAAATAGAAACGAGCAACCCATAGGGAGGCACATGTCCACGAAAAACTGACTCTCAAAGGCGCACCCCAAAAGATGATGGCACTCCGGATGCACCAGGAGCAGCCGGAAAGCGGATTCCACATCCGCCTTAGCCAGCAACGCCCCCGGGCCCGCCGCCCTAACCATGCGAACCACCGCATCGAAGGAAGCATAGGAGACCCTACAAAGCTCAGCGGAAATGTCATCATTCACCGAACCCCCTCGACGGTACGACAAATGGTGAATCAAATGATACTTCCCGGGATCCTTCTTAGGCACCACACCCAAAGGAGAAACTCGCAAATTAGCCATTGGTGGGGAGGAGAAAGGGCCGGCCATCCGCCCCAATGAGACCTCCTTATCCAATGAGACCTCGCAAATTAGCCATCGGTGGGGAGGAGAAAGGGACGGCCATCCGCCCCAATGAGACCTCCTTATCCAATTTTTCCCGTACCACCTGAGGGAAAGCCTGCACCGATTTGAGGTTGCGTACTGAGAGCAGCTGAGAGGGCGCTTTCTATAAAGGTCGAGCCACGGGCGCATCGTGTTTACGAGGACCGGAGTCGTCGCCCTTAGCCCCCCATGTCCCCTTTCTCACCCATTTTTCCCCGCTTGAAACAGCGAGAGGCGGAATGGGCTCCGCTGCAGCCGGAGCACTCGTGCTTAAACCGGCAGGAAGACCTCCATTTACAGCGACTGTTGTTAAACCTCCAACAACAGCCAGACCTTGGACCTGAGGCCGATGAGGAGGAAGGCGCGCCCCCACCGCCCCTCCCCAAGAAAGGACAAAAAGGTACCTTGTTGAGGGGCTGGACGAGTCATGATGGAAAGCCAGAGGCCGATATCCATCTGATCCCATGACAGCGAGGGACGCACTGCCAGCCGCTGTCGAAACTGCTCATCGTATCTCCACCAACCCAACCCCCCATAGGTGCGACAAGCGTTCCAGATCGTGTCCTGGTAACAGAACAGCGCGGAGCACTTGTGGGAAACTTTTCCCCAACCACGCTGGCTAAAATAGAGAACGCCCAAATCCAGTTCACAAAGGTCTTGGGAATTTTGAGGAAACGGTACTTCTCCCTATCCTTCTCCGACTCCTTACTGTCCTTGTCCGCCACGGGAGGAGCTTCCTCCAGTGGCAGGAGAGAAAATATCTCCACAAATTCCCCTTTCCAAATTTTTTCTTTTGTTTCCTGCTTCAAGTGCAAGCCCAGAGGGCCAGGCCAGCACATGTACGCCGCACCCTGCGCTACGTCCGGGACCCCCCCTTCGAGACCAGCATCAACCGAGGCGGCGCCCACACTGGCCACCGCGAGTGCCGGGGAACCCAGGGGCACTGTACCGCCCCCCATCCCAATAAGAGGCCCAGGAGGGGGAGAAGCCTGAGCATTAGGAGGGAGCAGGGCCGGGGACCAAGCCGACCGAAGTTGACTGTCCACCGAAGCGCACCCACTAACCGCCATCCCCCGCTCCCACTGATCCAAAAAAACCCTAAGACCCGAGAGGAACCCTCCCCACCCGGGACTCGCAGCGCCAGAAGCGGAGGGAACAAAGTACTTACCGGTCGCAGACTGGCGATCCAAGCCCGGCGCTGCGCTCACAGATGGCAAAGAATCAGCATTTCCAGCAGCCACAGAAGACATCAGCTGTGTTCCAGGCGCCACCTGCTGGACGGATCCATGAACTGTGCCCAGGAAGGTGCAGGCCGCGCGGAGGTGGCAGGCCTCGTGGCTGAAGGCCATGCCACCCGCGCGGCCACAGAAGGCCGCAGATTCCTGCCCCCAACAGGCGATGCCTCAGGCCCGGGCTCCTGCTCCTCAACCGGGCCCGAGGAGTGGCATCTGGTGACAGCCTGGCAGGCGGACGGGAACGCCTGCCAGTGCTGGTGCGGCCCCCAGGGGAGGAAGCATGGGAGGCCGCAGGAGGTGCTCCAGGGGAGGGCAGGCCACGGGGGGTGCCCACACCGACAGCCATACCACCACTCATGCTCTGAAATTGCTCCCTCAGTTGCCGGCCACCATCCAGCGCAGCAGCAGCCCTGAGGGACGACAGGATCGCTTCAATATCCATCACCTCAAGCTGTGTTAATCTGCAGGCCCAGGCAAACAGGAGTTGGAGGACAAGAAGCTGTTTGCTGGCCCGTATCTCAAGTGGCTCTGAGGTAAGACCTCCCCCACACTAACTTACATTAAGCCTAACCCCTCCCATGCACACTTCCCAAGTCCCTCCCCTGTATCTATCCCCACACTCCTACATGTGCCCTTGTCCGCTTAGCTGCGCTATCTCCCCAGGGCCTGGATTATTGCACTTAACTAATTAGCTGTTTAACTATTTAAGTAAAACACAATCTGCCGCCTAAAGATTAAAAGATAACTATTTAGCAGGCAGACCAAATATGGCCACTTTAAAGAAACAGAAAAAGAGAGACACAAAAAAAGACATAAAACAGGATAAAGGAATCTCATCTTTTTTTCTCTACACAAACTAATAGAGAGAAACAAAACAAATCTATGTATATATGCATTCAAAATGCCATAACGCCAAGTCAGCAGGCTTATTTATTAATGCTTAGTTTACCCTCAGCTTGCGTGTAGTTTCGACCCACCTGCAACCTAGCATCCCATAGGGGTTAACCAATTTACAGAAGGAGGCTTGTATGTCCGGGGCCTAGCGTGATACTCATGGATATGCAACATAAAGCAGGTATAAGAGTGAGTGTTCATTCAAGAGATACCGCTTGTTGAAGTAAGCTGAAGATCTTGTATAGGCCCAATCCATGAGATTGGCAAGTTGTAGCGTGCTGTCTGTTCCGCTTGGACCAGACAGGTGGTGATCCAATGAAGGAGGCTGAGTGCAGGTCGTGTAGCTTGGCTGCGGTATCTGGGTCTGACTGCCTTACTCTTCATGGGCTGTTTTGTGCAGGTGGTAGCGGTTGCTTGCTTCCCCGCTTTGTTCCCACTCTCTTCATAGTCACCACTGCTGATCTCTATGTAGTCAGCCGGTACGGCCCTGGAGTAGGTCAGGTGGCGCTGGATGGTCTCAGCTCCATTATGCTGGCAGGTCGCGCACATGGCTTGCGTGCGGTGGCCATTTTGAGGGGTGCTGCTTGATAAGTATGCCATGGCGTGGTGGGGCTCTCAGGCTTAATTTGGCGCATACCTGGGCGTCTGTGTATACCGGGATGACCCACCCGGTCCAGGGGGGGACGGGACGCCATCCGCCGGCTGAAGACCCGGGTGAGCGGCCGTCTCCTCCCGGCTAAAGCTCCCTCGTTCTTCGGGCCTCCGTCGGGTCACCGTTAGTACCGGGTGTGATCTTGTTACGTACCCCAACAGCAGGGGATCAATTTGGTCACAGGAGTGTGTCGCTGGATGGATTTGGCCCCCAGTTATCGCAGATTTTCGGCCCCATAAGCGGGAGCTCAGGCAAAGCATGTCTGATCCCTTCGGCGGCCCGGTCCCACCCCTGGTAGGTGTATATTGACAGTGAGAGACAGAATTAAAAAAATCCAGAAAAACGCATGTAAAAAAGTTATAAATTGATTTGCATTTCAATGAGTGAAATAAGTATTTGATCCCCTATCAATCATCAAGATTTCTGATTCCCAGGTGTCTTTTATACAGGTAACGAGCTGAGCTTAGGAGCTGTGCTTAGGGAGTGCTCCTAAGCTCAGCTCGTTACCTGTATAAAGGACACCTGTCCACAGAAAGAAGCAATCAATCAGATGCCAAACTCTCCACCATGGCCAAGATAAAAGAGCTGTCCAAGGATGTCAGGGACAAGATTGTAGACATACTCAAGGCTGGAATGGGCTACAAGACCATCGCCAAGCAGCTTGGTGAGACGGTGACAACAGTTGGTGCAATTATTTGCAAATGGAAGGAACACAAAATAAGTCTCCCTCGGTCTCCCTGCTCAATAAAGCACATGTACAGGCCCCTGTTTGCCAATGAACATCTGAATGATTCACAGGAGAACTGGGTGAAAGTGTTGTGGTCAGATGACACCAAAACGGAGCTCTTTGGCATCAGCTCAACTCGCCATGTTTGGAGGAGGAGGAATGCTTCCTTTGACCCCAAGAACACCATCCCCATTGTCAAACATGGAGGTGGAAACATTGCTTTGGGGGTGTGTGACAAAAGTAACCTTGTCACTGACTTTTGGAGGGGCCTGCGGGCCAGCCTCTTGCCTCAGGACTATGGGCCCTGCACTTTAAAAGGCTCTGTTCACCCCCACAACGCCTCTATGGCCTTAACTATCTTATCACTTAATGTCAAGGGTCTGAATTTTCTGCATAAAAGGAGAATGGCCCTTGAGGAAGCACAAAAATCGAAAGCCTCAATAGCCTTTTTTTCAGGAAACCCACTTCTCGAATTCTAAAATGCCCAAGTTCTCATCAAAACAGTATCCAACAGGCTTTCATACTGGTTATATTAAAAAAAATAAAGATGTCGCCTTTTCACTACACAAAAAGATGGGAGACAAAGACAGCAGATTTCTCCTCGTTTAATGCCTTATTAATAATGAACCTTACACCCTCATAAATATCTATGGCCCACATGATAACCAGACAACATATCTCAACAAAATACTAACAAAGGCAGACACTTACAAATTTGGGACACTAATGATAGAGGGAGACACAAATTTTATTTTAGACAGCAATCTAGATTCCTCCTCAAACCTGTGCGTATCCCGCAAGACTACCAATAGGCGAACTCTCTCTACCTGTGCCATTAGAAAACAAATTCACTAATCAGGCTATGTAGACATCTGGAGGATACTCCACCCCTCAGAAAATGATTTTTCCTTCCACTCATAGGCCCATAACTCATATTTGAGGATCAATAGGTTCTTCATACACTCATCACTAATATCTAACATTCAATCCACAAAGATAGGTCTTATAACATGGTCCGACCATGCCCCAATAACACTCACCATAACAACCCAATACACTAACAGAGGTAGAGGCTCTCGGCGACTAAATTAATCATTATTACGAGATCCAGCAATTACAGAACAAATCAAAACAGAACTGGAAATATATTTTCAAACTAATTCCATGGAGGATACCTCCATACCAACAATATGGCAAGCACACAAAGCTGTACTCAGAGGCCTGTTTATAAAACATGAAGCTACGCTAAAAAACAAAGACAAAAAACATTCAATGACTTAATTCAACAAATAAAGGTTCTTACACACACTAACAAGACAAACCCATCACCTGAACATTACACTAAACTAAGGAACATGCAAAACCAACTTCAGGAGCTCGAACTAGACAAAACCAATTATATACTACAGGAGTATAAACATAAATTCTTCACTCAAGGGAACAAAGCAGGCTCAATCCTAGCATCTAAATTAAAATTGTGAATGGCCAACTCTAGAGTAGCGTATATATTAAAACCGGACAAATCCAAGATCATGAACCCACAAGACATTGTAGAAACATCTGCACAATACTACAGCTCTCTTTATAACCTTACAACCGACACCAACACACACACACCTTCCGAAGCACAAATACAAGATTTAGCACAGTAAACCTCCCAAACTTAACTCAAGAAGAAATAGAGGCAATAACTAAACCATTCACGATAGAAGAACTGAAAGACACAATTAAGAATCTGCCCTCCTATAAGTCCCCATGACCAGACGGTTTTACCAACCTCTATTATCAAACTTTCTCTGACACCCTAGCACCACATTTCACCAAACTCCTTAACAACTGCTTCACCACCGGTGAGATACCACCAGAAATGCTCCATGCGAACATTTCTACACTTCCCAAACCAGGCAAACCAGCAATATTATGCCAGAACTTCAGACCCTTTTCATTACTTAACTGCAACACAAAAATATAATAGCAGACCGCCAAGATAATAGCAGAACGTCTCAAATATATTCTAAGGCGAATAATACATAATGATCAATCAGGATTTGTCAAAAACAGACAGGGCTCAGATAACACGAGGAAAGTGCTAAATATACTTGCCCATATGGACACACACAATATGGAAGGCCTTCTCCTAGCGCTAGACGCGGAGAAGGCCTTCGATAGACTTAATTGGGATTACATGGACCAAGTACTGGTCAAATTCGGATTTCCTAGAGAATATATAAAAGGCATAATGGCACTATACTCTAAACCAACCGCCAAAGTCTCAAATGCAGGATTCATTTCGAACCCTTTCTCCATCACCAATGGCACACCCCAAAGATGCCCTCTCTCTCCCCTATTATTTGTATTATCCCTGGAACCATTGGCGCATAAAATCCGAACACACACAAGTATAAAGGACATAAGCATCAATAACACAGAATACAAATTGTCGATGTTTGCAAATGACATTCTTATCTCCATGACACAGCCAGATCTTTCATTAACACATCTTCTACACACCCTGGATGAATACAGCAGTATTTCCTATTACAAGCTCAATCAAACGAAAACCCAAGCACTACCCACAAAGGAAGTTACAAGGCTAAAACGCAAGTACAAATTTGACTGGAGACAAACGTATCTCACATATCTAGGGGTAAAATCACAGGCGCATTTAGAGGGATCAGCGCATGCAATTTCTCTCCTTTACCACAAATGTGTAAACAAACCCTACATAAATGGGAAAACATTATGATATCCTGGCTGGGACGGATTAATGCCGTCAAAATGATGGTACTGCCGAAACTATTCTATATATTCCGAATGTTACCAATACCTCTCTCACCTACACTGCACAAACAAATCCAAACTATATTAACAACTTACATCTGGGAAAAAAAGAAACCCAGGTTACCTTTAGCTCTCATACAGTCTGCCAGTAAAGAGGGAGTAATGGGATTCCCCAGCGTAGCAACATACCAAAGAGCAGCACTACTAGAAAACGCTATGTAGCTTCATGCCCCAAAACACACACTACAATGAGTAGATATTGAAAATAAGTATGACCCCAAGAGCTCAGCAATAGACCACATGTGGACACCTAAACATCTTAGAGACAAGCGCAAACCATTACTTCCACTTACTAGATACGTCATACAAGCCTGGTACCATCTCCACCGCTCAAACGTGGATAATACTAAGTTCTCTCCTTGGGCACCTATCACCGCCCTAAATTCGGTGTCTCCGTGGTTGTCCTTAAAAAAGTGTAGGGAACTGGGGGTTACCCGTATTACAGATTTATCCCGACAGGGAACTATGCTACCTTTCCTGGAACTGCAAACAAAATATCATCTACCCTCATTATTCATCTTCCCCTATATCCAATTGAAGAGTTTAATTCCCAACAAAGTAGCGCACACTCAATCGGAAATGGGTGCATATGACCACCACCAGATACTCATATATAATCGATGTTATAATACACTGGTCAAAAATAAAACCCTCACAGTATGTTATACCACACTAAAGTCAAATAACACACCCAGAATATAAGTATCAAGCACAATGGAAGGGAGAATGCACTCAATATCCCACCTCGCTCCATGCCCTGAAAGGCATCTCAACTTGCCATTCCCATGTTGAAGCCCATAAAAAGCTTGTCTACAGATGGTATTATACACCTGACAAAATTCCCAAAATATACCCCCAGATCCCACCTACCTGTTGGAGATGCAACAGAGATAGAGGAACAATGACCCATATATGGTGAGACTGGCCAGATATAAAACCATTGTGGGAAGAGACACAAAAAATATGTGAAGAATTGGAAATCAAGCTCCCTCAGATCACACCTAAACTTGCTCTTTTTCTATTACTCCTGGGGACTCTACCCCATGCTGACAACCACATACTAGTGATGACAATTCTGGCCACAAGGAATTTGATAGCATGTCACTGGTAAAAATCTGGATGCCCAACCCCCGTATTGATATGGCACAAAACCAGACAATTTCTCAGATATGAAATATTATCAGCTAGTACACCTAAACAGTCTTTTATAACAAAGCTGAATTGGAAAGAGCTAGAAATAAAGATGGGGTTGTGTAACACACTACCTCCCAACTAAGAAGTAAGGAAACCATGTATCCACCCTTCTTTATATGACACATGTTAACTAATCATGACATATATACGCAAGATAAATGAGCATATACAAAGAAATGTTCCAAG